TTTCCAGACCGATGAGCTTTGTAAAAATCAACGCGTTTCAGAAAGGCGGGGCATAGAGGAGAAACAATAATGTACAGTATGTGGAAAATAATGTTTTTTTTTAACCTTAAACCGCATAAACACATTTCATTACACCAAATACACAAAATAATGTTCTTTTTTAGCAACATCATATGACCCCTTTTAATATCATTATTTTTTTTTCAACATAAGAATTTATGTCAGTGCATTAAAAATACAGTGTCACTTTTTTTTCTTTTAAACCTTCCAGTACACTTACACTTAGAACCACAGACTTCGTAATGCATTCCTGTACAGATGGATTTACTTGAGGAACAAGTAAAAATTATTTTCTGTGGTAACTGGTTACATGTCTCAGATACTGGCGACAGAACTTGAATTTAACCTGGAATATTTCTTTTTAATAACCCTCTTTGAGGCATGTTTTGGCTCTCTCTGTGACTTACCAAGGCTGGATCTGGTATTTGAGCGCTCAATAATGGCTCTCTTGCTGGGATTGTTAAGCACTGATCTCTTTGCCAGTGAGATATCTGCTGTCACACGTGTGATAGTTATCCTAGGACAATAAATACATTACCTGTAGTTAGCTGCAGTGAAAATCTTTCATTATAACATATAAGCCACCCTGTCTTCTTTATAACAAATTAGTCTATATTATAAACTTCTCTGTGTTGTGCAGGAACATGATGAAATGACAGTGTAATCATATATAAACCACTTTTTGTTACTTACCTGCCATCAAACCGATGTTTCAAGAAGTCAAAAAGAGCTTTCTGCATCATATCAGTGACCTGTACAAAAGATATAAAGTGAATTTGAATGTGATTTAGAATGACTAAAATGCGGTAATAGTGTATTTATATCACTTTACATGATAAATTCATATTTATATAATTCATACTTAAACAATGCCTCATATTTAAACAATAATATTTGATCTATTCTAAAACAATACTTGTGTTTATGCTTATTAGGGTATTGTGCTGTACCTTAGCAACATGTTTAACGCCAAACTCCACTGAAATAAAGTGCAACAGTGCCAGCCTATTTTTTTCAGCAGCCCTGGTTTCCTGAAATACTTTTCCCATTCATTTTTCTTATAGGTATTTTAAAAATTTATTTTTTAAGAGTTATAAGCTATGAACCAAACCAAGCAGATACAAGGAGAATCACAACATTACAAACTTTGATTTGAAACAAATCAGAGACAAAGTTGAAAACTTAGCTTAACCTTTAATCAGGGAAAATACTACAATCCCATGCGGCATTGCAAAGGACATAACTGAGTTAAAAACAGACATATAGAACTATTTATATATATATATATATATATATATATAAAAATTCACCAGGAATTCTTCTGTCAGTTGAAATAATGTGGGCTGATGGCTTGAACAAAAGCATATACCATCGATTAACAACCTCACAGTTCACAGTAAGTCTGTCTTTAAAGGTTTATGAGTTATTGTTCCCTATTGAGAAAATGAATGTGATTTACTTCTAGAACCCGATTGTTGTACTCTATTAATTGCACTCTATTAATTACATTTCAAATTGGTCACATATATTGTTCCATACTGGTCACTTATTGCACCTGTAGGGAGCGAGGCAGTTTTTGGAACAGAGCTAAAGATTCAATTTAATTTTAAGGACAAAACTCCTGCCTCATCAACTCATAAACTTACTTAGCCTCACTGCAATTTATATACCAAGCAGCTGCATAAATAAATGAAATTCTTACAAAAAATAAATAAATAAAAATAAAATCTGCATCTAGTTACGCCCTATAAATTGCCAAGGAGCTTGTTTTCTTTATTTACTTTCTCTGCTTCACTGTCTCGCCTCGTCTTTGTCTCTCGCATGCCTTCATTTTTTCTCTCACCGATCCCTTCCCTCCATCACTGTTCCTGTTCTTCTCTCCCTTTTCTGTCTCTTTCTAATTTCAAACCGTGCTCTACTTTCTAGCACTGACGTCTCTTGGACCCCGGAAGGTTGTTGCCGTGGTAACGGAACGGCGGAGCGGGGGAGTATGTTTTTGTTTTCTCTGTGTGAAGAGACTGGAATAGATATTATATTTTGCTGGTATCAATAACCCAAAATGCGCACACATAGACATAAACAAAGAACGCCAGCTCTATGGCCTTGAAGGAGGAATTTTCTGTTCGATGTTATTTTATGATGAACTCGCTGATTCACCTGTAAAAACTCTCCAGCTTGTTCTTTGACAAAGGCGTTTTTCTGTCAGAAAACCCAGAACCCAGGTTTGATGATGATACGCCTCCGCATCATTTGAGACAACCCACCTCATATCCTTTCAGCGATGGACCAACCAGCACCACAGGCCTCATGGAAGGCACAACATCATAGGGAGTCACATGTTCAGTCTGCAGATGAGATCATAGGTAAATAACAAAGCCCAGCATAGTCAAAGTATGTCACAATGAGTGTCGTTTTGAAGAATGAGTGTAGAGACAAATTTGTGTTTAGGACAGTGGTGGCAGAAATATATCTCTTCAATAACTGGACAGGAAGGTTAGGTGATGATTCTTACATCCACACTTACCACTTTCTGTTTCTGCTTGCCTGTAAAAAGAGGAAATAGAAGGGAAGTCAGAATAAAGTATCATCAAGTTCTTCAAATGTGAGAAAGCCATTCAAGTCATTCATGGTCCACTGCCCCATGCTCACAACAAGCTGCTCGTTTGATCTTTAGCCTTACGCAGGACAGTGTTGAAGTAAAATCATCCACTGATGAATTGCCTACGATTCCGTTTTTTTCGGGGAGACTCCTGTAACCCCACCCCCATCTCATAAAGCCCCACCCCCAACAGCTCATTGGCTCACCTGATGACATCACATCCCCCAAACTAGGGGAGGAGCTTCCACTGGACTTACTAAAGAAATGAGCAGACAAACAGAGACAGAGATAGAATATTTTTAGTCATTGTGTCTACACACACGAGCGGACTACTCTCAATATCTCTATATTTAATACTATAATCTCTAATAACTAATGCACAAAACCTGGTCCGACCCACACTGATTCTATGTCAATGTCCATGAATTGATGCTGCATGTAGAATTGTTATCGATAGTCACCTGGGTTTGAGGGTCAGTCATCCGATTTCAAACTGCGAGCTGGTGTCACCTAACTTACCCAGTTTTCAACAAATCAAATGTCAAACAATCTCAAAATTCTGTACTTTTGGATCATTTCAAGTTTCAAGTAAATTGTCTCATAATTTGATACTGGGTCTCTCATCTGGTAGTCTCAGCCTCAGACCCATAGACCATTTGATGAATATTACTACAATGACCAGAGCTCTCCAAAATTGTAAGCTCAAATCTAATTGGTTTCCTAGTAGTTGCAAACATTTTTATAAGTCTACCTGGAAAAAAAGAAGCTTGTTTATATAGTGTAGTACCAAGCTGCTACAATGAACAAAGTTTGCGAAGTTCATATAGCACTGAATCTTTGAAAGATATTCAGCTGAGACACTATAAAAATATATCCTTGTGCACAACTGTATATTCTGTTTATTTTATGTTATGTCCACGAAAAACAATCTATATTTATTACTAATTCTTACCATAAAATGCATTTCTTCAGTTCCCAGTTCTACAACTGCTTGCAGAGACTGTGGCACCAGTATTTAACTACTGTTTTGTTACTCTCTTGTTACCAAGTGGATGGTTCTTGGCCAGAATAAACTGCACTGTAGACTGGACTTTATGTCTATACTCAAAAGTCTGGGTCTGGCTCTGGTTCTGCATTTCTGTAGCTAAGACATGATGATTATGAGCAGCAGTGAATGTACAGTGAACAGTGATAAATGTAAATTTAAGTCATAATGTTTCTGGCCAAGATAACAGTCCTGATTACATAAAGTAACAGGCGAAAAAGGGTGAAAATTCAGATCTGGAGTGAAACTGAAATGCAAACCCACCATACCTTCTGGATTTAATCTGGGACTTCCTCTAACTTCAAGCAATGCCATGCTCACAGATTTTTTTGCTCACAGAGTCAAAAGTCAATTTTCTTTATAATGCCATCTCTGTTCATGAAACCCACCACCCTTTTTTCATGTTGTAATGGAATATTTTAATAATCTTTCCAAAACTTTTTCAAAAGTTTTATTGTATCCTATAATAAGACTTAATATTATCAACAAGCTATAGTATCTGTTGTATCTATAGAATAGCAACTATAGAGCATTTGGTTTTCTACACATGGAAATGGCATCAAAAACCAACTTTTCATTAATGGATCAAAAATTGTATAAACACATAAAAATGAGCCTAGAAATATGTAGTAGTGCACATTTTTGGAAAACTATCCAAGATTTCATTGCCAGGTTGATAAACTAACAGAATATACTTTATCTAATACTTGCTACGTGAACTGCGTTAGGCTAACCGAGACTTGTCATTTGCACTTATATATTGTTGCTCTTTTGTTAGTTTTGACTGCTTTTATTGGCCTCATTTGTAAGTCGCTTTGGATAAAAGCGTCTGCTAAATGACTAAATGTAAATGAATATTAACGACTAAGAGGTTGTGGAAAATCAAATGCTCCATTCACCTAGGTAAGTATGTTCTCTGTCTGCTTACCCTTGTACACGGCTTTTCTTTTGTTCCAGCTGTGCTCTGATATTCTCCAGCTTCAGGGGACTGGGGATAAAACCAATCTCACAGCCTTCTTTCACCAGCCTCCCAATCCACCAGTCATTATTAAACTTCTGCATATGGAGCACAGAAAAGCACAAAAGAAATAAAAGCTGGGAAAACTTTATCCCCTCCTAGCATTTTTCTGTATTCAAAGTCATCAGTGAATCTGAATCAGCAGTGACCTGTTCACTAATGGGCCAGCAGGCCACAGTACCTCTTTGATGTGCAGGAAGTCTTTCGGATCAAATGAGATGGCAGTTCCTGGCACAGGCACATCTTCATCCAGCGCACCACAGTAACTGACATTTGTTTTCACGGCAAAGGCCACCGCTTTGGCCTGGAAGTTGATGTTTTTTTAATAAAAAAAGTAAAAAATTATATATATAAAAGCCATTTTTACACACATAATGTACATCTTGTTCTAGTCCACCTCATTGACTCAGTGGAGTGGATATAAAACAAATAGGGTAGACATCTGAATTTTAGATTTAGTTGTACTCGTATTATAAATTTTACTCAAATCATAAGTGTAATCATAATCTGCACTGTCCACACCGTTATAGCTGTGTCCAACCTGTTATACTGGAATTTTGGTAACACTTTACTAAAAGTGTTTTACTAAAGCCTTTATTTATAATGCATTATAAAGAGTTATTAAAGGGTATAATGCATTATAATTATTCATAATGTGCATTGTAATACATTATATCTTGTCGTAAATAATTATATCCGAATTTAAAATGCATAGTGTAACAATGAACTGATAAGTGTTATATAATGTATTAATTGTGGTTACAGTTATTCATGAGATTTTACAATGCATTATAAGGTGCATTACAAGGCACAATTAATGCATTGACTACTTTTATAATGCATAAAGCGCTTTAAATAAAGCGTTACCGGAACTTTTCATTTATGCTTCAATAATAAAAAAAAACTAGGAAAAATAACTGTTGTAAATAATATGAGTGAAGAACGATGCATATACTTTATTTCTACACTCTGCTCACGTGCATCTTAAAAGTACACAGTGAAATAATGAGATTTCAAAAACAGACATATTATGTTAATTTTTTAAATAAATAAACACTAATATAATATCAAATAAGATTAATAGACACATTATCTCTTTATTACTACAAAAATAATCATTTATATCAGAATGTATAAGGCTATTATGCTCATGATCTTAAAATCAAATTACTGATACAAATAACCTGCTACATACCAGTAAAAAAGCACTGTATACTGTTGTGTACTGAAGTATGTGTTGAATATGATAAGCACCATACACTATATATTAATATGTAGTAAGTGTGATTTGTGTATGCTCTGACCTTTGCCCTCTCCAGCTGCAGTGCAGCCTGTGTTTCTCGCTCCTGCCGGCCCTGACTACCCCCCTCCGGCCTCTCCTCCTCCAACGACACATCTGAATCAGACGGCCTGCTAGTGTAGGAATCAGCTGAACCCTGCGAACAGATAGCACACACTACATTACTTGCATGCATGCAGTCTGGTCATGACTTTTAAAAGAGGCGAGTCAAAAAAAAAAAGGCATTTTTCTAACTCGGCCCAATCAGAACAGTTACTAAAACCGCAAAAATGGGTTGTTCCGAAATTTCAGCACATAAACATATGACCTCTGGCACGTCAATATTTATTCAGGATTCAAATACTTGGCACACCCTGATGAATGGCATACCGAAATATCCCACTATGTGGAACAAATCATAACTGAGGTAATTTACATACAGAAGTCTTAAAGGTGGAGAATCAAAAACGGTTAAAAATGGTTTAAAGGGTAAAAAATGATCATGCAAAATTGAATAATGATTGTTTCGGGTTTAAGAAACCTTGCACAACCTTGAAGTAGACTGTCACAATGGTACAAAAGTGGAAAATAAGGCCCAATTTCCAAATATGAGAATGACACAGAAAAGAGATTTACCTGCAGCTGTCTCTCCCAAGATACATTTTGACAACATTTGTGTATAAAAAAAGATCAGACCATCCACACTGTAAAATATAATCATAATTTTAATGGTAAAAGAATGTAAATATGCTACGATAAAAACCTGTTCATTGGTTAACGGTAAGTTTCCTTACTCTATATGGTGAAAAAATTAGAATACGAAGAATCAGTTATGCACATTAGGGTTTAATGTTACATCGTATGCTGTTAAATTAATGTTTATTGCATTATTTTAGTGTCAGGTGTATTACCATGATGGTGTTTTGTTTTTACGACACCGTGCACCTTCTGTATATTACTATTTACTTCATTATTTATCTTTTTATAAAGGTTAAATCAGATTTTAGTACTTAAGTATAGTAACATTTCAGTTAATATATATATATATATATTTTTTTTTACAGTAAATGTAAAATCTGTAAAAATGCTACCATATTTTTCACTGTAAAGTTCTGGCAACCACAGCTGCTGTTTGTTTTTTAAATCGTAAATTTCACTAATTCTTTTTTTTTTTTTTTTACAATGCCCTTGGACCATCTTCCTTGGTCATTATTCACATTGGTCTGGTCTGCTGGATTTTCATTACGTCTGTGATACTCATGTTTTCCTATTCAGGCTGCTGCAAACACAGGTCAGCACAAAAACTACCTGTACCTCTATTACTAGAGCTACCAGCCATAGAGATACATGCTTCTTAAGCAAACAGAAAAATACACCTGTGAGCTGAAAGTGACTTCAGGTAAGCTCCCTTTGTTCACAGTCTACATTACATAGTTAAAAACAACAAAACAACAGATACATTTACTAGGTAATAAAATATGTAATAATTTACATTTGTTTCATATGTCATTTTTAATTCAACTTTGTTATTGTGTGTAACATGAATATGATTATGTAAAATGTTACTCAGCATTTTATGGATAAACATCAGTCATCACATATTTTCATATACAGAAATAATTGATTTAAAACATTCACAGTGTAACCAACATATCAAAATGATTCGGACTGTGAGGCATCTCACCATGATTCGGATTCTCACCTTGAGGCATCTGTCACTGTCTGAGACAAATGTAAAAATACTGAATCCTAAAATGGAGTAACAGGCTATGAAACTTACATATCTTAAAAATCATCTGCAGCTGGATCGAAACCAATTATCTTAAAACAAAAACTAGAAATATGTGTAATTATGAGCTTCCAGCACCTTTTTTTGCCATACATTCATTTCAATGTGTCTCCTATCATCCATCAGTAGTGAGCAAAGTTCATTCTCTACTCCAAATAGTAAAAAGACTTAATTTACAGTACAAATAATAGCCCTGAAAAACTCAAGCATCAACATATCTAGATTTCCTTTAAGCATACATACCTTCACTGCTTGTTTCTCAGGACCATGAAAAACTTCACAATACATAATCTGAACATTTTCACCTGAAATCTCCATAAAGTCCTCAGACGGCTCCATCACGTTCAAGAGAAGCACCTGATCCCTATCAGCTCAATAAAAACATATACCGTATGGTATTCACATTTTCCCCTTTTAAGATAATAAAGAAGATCCAACCAGCCAGTACATCGTCCTCTAATTAATGAGAGATCTGCTCAAAGTGAAGTGAAGCTAGGAAGCTGTATTCTGTTAATCCAATTTGGAAACAACATTAGCTCAAGTCAGTAAAAAGAATGATTGGGTCAATATCGCATTAGAGAGAGAGAGGTAGAGAGAGAGAGCGAAAAAGCCTTGCAGTCGGCTAAAAAATTTCAACACGCTGCCTATGGCGAAACACTTTTTCCCTGAAGGCAGCCGCTCCGCACAAGCTTACTTCAGCAGGGACCCAATTGAGGCCGGTGAGTCCAATCACAAAACGCCTGATTCGGGAAACCAAAAATGCACAAGTTTGCTTATCTTTCACTGCAGAAGTGATGATTGTAAGCAAAAAAAATTCAAATGAATGGCTTTCGTCCTTGATTTTGACGAGATAACAGTCTTTTTGCTGAAGAATGACTTTGGAGGGCCTTTAAAGATTCATATATAATGTCATAAAGACAGACAATGGCCCAAAATTAAGTCAAACAGATATTTTCTCATTAACTAAATTAAGCTTTTATTAAGCTTAGAAGGTTTACAGACACAGTTTTACTGGATTTGCAATGCAGAGTGCAATGAACGTGGTTTAAATGCATATGTATTTATTAGCAAATAAATATAAATTATCCCAGACCTCTATTTTGAAGTAGGCTATGTAGAATATGTAAAACCAGTCATACACTGTAACCCCCCCCCTAAGTTTACTAGAGTAAAATATTTGAGTATGTTTGACAAGAAAATACTATCTCAGTCTTTTTCCTTGAAAATTTCACATTTAACTCTGTTACTTGCCATTGCTTTGTAAATAATTGAAAAATGTATTAGCAATTTCTGCGCGAAGAGTTTTTGACACCAGTGTTTGAACACAGACTATGTGGTTAAACAACTTCTAGATGGAATGTACATTTATTAATAACATTAAACAAAGTTTCTTAAATATTATGCTTGCTGATTCATATTTTAAATGATTTTATGTGCTCTACTTAAAAAGCTATATGTTAAAACTGATTAAATATACAAACAACATGACATACCATATATTCATCCTCAAAAGCGCAGGAACCTCATTATGGATTATGATGTGTATCTTAAATAAATGGTCTCTGTACATACAGAACATCGAAATAAACACATCTGAAGAGAATTACAGTGGGTTCTAAGGGCCTCTGACGTATACACACACAATCCCTGATAGCTTTTCCAGACTTCTGGCTCGATTTCGTTTTGAGGCATTCAAGTGGGGCACCTAAGCCATGTGACTCATTACATTCTACACATCAGCAAGAAACGGCTCTGCCCCTTTAACAGCCAGACAGTAAATGAAGCCTTACAATTTTACCTATATGATAACATCCTAAACAAATTCAACCTTAAAGAGATCAGGTAGGACCTACAAAGAACAGAAAGCCACGTATTATAATCCTGAAACAAACGCCAACTGAAAAATGAATGAGACGTGCTTTTTTTTCTGCTGTAAACGCACTGTATGGAATAGGAGTGAATGTTCAATGGGAATGTGTGCTATTAACAACACATACTGAAAGACATACACACACAAGCCTCTGATGAGCATCTCCCAGTAGTACACCCACGGAGATCGGTGGGCTGCATCTGAGAAAATCATGGTACACTGAGTCTCGCAGGCCCTGTATGTGCAGCACAGCTGAGCCAGTGTTCAGAACAAGAGCGCGGTCACGCACACACACACACACATATAGCCAGTGGGAAAACACTATATATAGCCATAGCCAATTCCGATCGCGAGAAAAATAACTCACCGCCTCCGAGTCTTCAAATCCATGCAGGTACAAATTGTCATACATGGAGGTTTGCTATTCCAAAGAGGTCCTCTTGAAGAATAGAGAAAAAAGAGAGGAGGAGGTGGTGGTGGAGATGGAGAGAGAGGGGGAGGAGGAGGAGGAGGAGGAGGAGGAAGAGAAGGAGGGAGCCACCACCACAAAAAAAGAATCGATGGGGGGATGACGATCTCCTTGCTCCACAGAGGAAGAACAAGAAGGGAAAAAAGGGTGAGAGAAGCCTCACGAGAAAGAGAGGATGGAGACAGAGAGAGAAAGAGGGAAAGCAGGCCTGTGCAGATGGCTCAGCCTGCAGGATGGAGTGGATCCCTCGTTCAGCCTCCAATTCTCTCACATCCTCAGGCAGGGAGAAGCTTCCCAACGGCTCACTGACGCGGATGTTTCATCATCTCTCAGCAACACGCTCACACACACACACGGCACGGTGCTGCTCCCCGCATCAGAGAGAGAGAGAGAGAGGGTTAGAAAGAAAAAGGGAGAGAACCCTTCCTCAATCTCAGGCTGATGACACAGTTGACCAGCTGCGTGCTGATTGGCCGAGCAGCCTTCCAGTCAGAGCTGCTGCTGACGTGTGTTCTCCTTGACTGTGAGCGCTGATGAGAGAGAGAGAGAGCCTCCCTCTGCCTCTTTCATTCTCGCTTTCCATCTGTCATTTCATTCGAATGTACAGTCAGTTTTTTCTCCAGGATGTTCCCCTTTATTTGCCGTGATGCTATTTTCTTCATTTTCTTCGCTGATTAATGCTTTGTTTATTTTACTTTTCCCATCAAAAACATGTTTTTTTTTTGCAAACATATATATTTTAATAATCTAACCAAATTTGAACATAACATGAATAAACGAAACAAATATTTAGCAAATACATAAATATCTAAATAACAAGTGTGTGTATATATATATATATATATATACACACACACACATTTTGGATTGAAAATTAAATTCATTAGGTTTGATTTATATACAATAAACAAATTATATATTTACATGTAATAAACAATAATTAAAAAGTTTAATTACATTTGTATTGATTATGTATAAATATATATTTTAAATTGTATTCCATTTTAAACGTTGTCAAATTTTAAACAAATTAAGCGCGGTCCACTGCTGCACACGTGCCACAATATCGATACAGGGCCAGCTGTATCGATACTCGTATCGTCAAATCTCTGTGACGATACATCGTTGTATCGATATTTTGAACACAGCACTAATTTAAATTTCCACTTTTATTAATATATGTTCTCACTATTTTAAATCTTACCAAATTTTAACATAACATGAATAAAGTTTTAATACGTTTTTGTAAATAGTATAAATATATAAATATATACAATAAATACATTATATATATTGATATATAATGAATTATATATAAATATATAATAAATATATTTTAAGTTTAATTTCCACTTTTATTAACATACTTTCTATTTTTAAATCCAACCTCTATATGTGTGTGTGTGTGTGTAATAATCAAAAGGTTAACAACAGATTATAGTTAGAAATTATGCTAACACTTTACAATAAGGATCTATTAGTTAGTGTTAGTTAATGAATTATCTACCATTAACTAACAATGTGCAATAGATTTGTTACAGTATTTTTATGTTACATAAACAATCTTTATTAATGTCAGTTAATAAAAATACACCTGTTTGTTGTTAGTTCATGCTATCACAAGTCCATTAAATAATATTAAAGGGGTCATATGATGTTGCTAAAAGTTAGAACGAGCCGTTTTAGGTAGGCATGGTTGACTCTTAACTTTTATAAAGAATATCTCTTTGGATTTGAGATTTTAGTCTTTGCAGCTTTACAGATCTTCTTTATGCACCAAGAGCTTGTAACACTCCAAAGAGAAAGGAAAAATTGTGGGGTGAATCAATTTTTAATTGATCCAGATTGGCTCTGAGAACCAAGCTTGATCACTTTCAGAAATGGGCCATTTCTTTACCTGTCTCAGGATAAAACTGGTGGAGGTGGTGCTGCCATCAGACCTCTTCAGTCGACTACGCCTTGAATATGTTCCCCTGTTCACCTGTAGATGGAGCAATGATGAAAACATGAATGAATTGCTTCAGACATGGTTGACCATTTCTCAACCCTTTACTTTTGAGAATATAAAATTAGCATTATTGTTAATGGAATCATATTTTTTATATTTGACATTAATAGATAAGAATCAGAATAAGCAGCAGGATCAGTATTGAATTTATTAGCCAAATATTACTTAATTTGCCTGCTGAGATCCTATCAAGGTTATAAAACACTTACAATACATAATTTTAGATGGAAATATAGACTGAATGTTGCACAGAATTAGAAATAGGTAAAATATGACTAGACTGTACATTGTGTAGAAACATGGAAGTTATCCAAATGTGGGTGATGGGAGAGAGGGTGCCAGCAGATACAACTGTGCTGTGTGCAGTGCATTAGTGACCATTAATGAGGGAAGTTCATTCGGTAATGAGAGCCACTTGCATCAATGTAAATTATCTGTGCAAATTCATTAATGGACTGATATAACAGTAGAAGTGGAAAACGTATAGAGCGGTCATTCAGCTTGAGGTATATGAACCCTTCTTTACCCCTGGGAAGAAAAAGAATACAGCTACAAACAACAGGAAGTTTGAAAGAGAAGGAGAGAAATAGAGAGATGGGAGTGGATTGACAAAAAATAGTCACTACAGGGACACATTAATTAGCCAGGTCTGATTTGTTTCTATTTCTAGGCGTCTCTAGAGCTCTATAGTAGTGTTGCGGATAGACAGAGAGCTTGTTCTTTTTAAAGTTCGTTTAATAGGGCCACCAAAAAGTGGGTCAGTGTGCTCATTTCACTGCATTAGGGTTGTTCTTTATGTAGTCAGGTGAGCTAGGTCATTGTTGGTGTCAAGACAAAGAATTCATCTATATACTCAAATAATAATGCTAGCAAACTAGTTATTTCTGCTTCAAATATTTCATGTGATTTGATAAAGTTCACAGTAGTAAAAGTCTCTGCGTTTTAATTCATTCAAGTGCCCTTGACACCCCTACGCAAACAAAATTGCAGAACCCACTGAAAACAAAGTGTACTGAACGTACTTCATCATTCCAAACAGTTTTACTGAGAATACCAAGCAAACACCAACTAAAACGATTATATTCATACAGGCTAGTAAATATCATAATAGCTATCTGTGTTTAGTTGTATAAAGTTATCCAACAAAATTAATAAAGTAAAAATGATGTCTTATCTCAAATCTTAACATGGTCACCTGAAATATAGGCGCTTGGATTCCCTCGCCGATCTTATTCCTAATATAAATGTGTCGAGACATCTCAGCCAGCACATCGGTCCAGATCGGGAGTTGCTGGCCTGCTGGCCCGGCCCAGTGGAAGTTTGGAGGGTTTCTGACGGCTTGATCCAGCTTCGGTGGTGTGTGTGTATGTGTTTCCCCGCGCTCGTGAAGATCCTCTCTGCTCTCGTGCACCAGAGGAGCCACAAACTCGTCACAGTGTGACAGACGTCAGGTGCACGCGCACCGCTCGTGTGGTGGCAATGAGCGGCAGTTCAGTTTTTTGGTTTAGATAACCTAGTTTTACCTAGATTACCTAGTTTTAGATTAGGTAATAAAACCAATACAAATTGAAATTCGTTATGAGCTTATGGAACAGTAGCAGAACATAGCGCCACCACCCTTTCTCCACACAGTGGCGCTATTGCCTGAACAAGCTAATACATCCTATTATGTCAAACAATGTGATTAATTGTAACAGATGATCACAAATCAAATGCACATTTTGTCCTAAGCTTTATTGATGGCTTGTGAAAGCCGTTTAGATCCGTTTTTAATGGGTCCAATAAGAAAGCCTGCTCAACATTAGTGAACTTGAAATGGAAGAAATGTTAAAATATATCTATATCATGCGTGATTCCTCAACATATGTTTACTAGAAACACAGGCAGAGAAGTGGACAGGCCAAACACACAAAGGTGGGGAGTAAAGTTTGAAGCTTCATTAAATAGTACAAACTAAACACCATTATCTGCACCAGCGAATAAGAAGAAAGAATAAAAATGGACAAAAGAACATATTTAATGGTAAACGATTACAAATAGTAGGCCTATTATGGAGTATCAAGGTCCAAGAGAAACACACTGCAAGACAATTAGATATTATAGTAATAAAACATTATAAATACATTGTTTTTTCTGGTTATTTATGTATATGTATTTGGTCTCATGGGAAAAAAACGTTGTTTTACCCAAAGATGACAATATACTATACCTTAAAGGCTCTGTTCGTAGCTTATCTCCTCTGAGGATTCATTTTGGATTGAAAATTAAATTCACTGGGTTTGATTTAAAACCATCCATTGTAGATGTGTAGTTTTTTTTTTTTTTTTTGTCATATTATGGACCCATCTATATTGGAGAAAACAAAACTGGCTTTTGGTGTCACTTTTGGTATATTGGACATTTGAAGTTTTTCCATGAGGAAAAATCGTTGTCTTTAATCGTCTCTCTTTATATAGCCTAACAACTTTTTCTCTGCTCTTTTCAATATCCAGTAAGCAAGGTCTGACTTCTTTTCTGCAGAACATTATTGCTAAGCAAAGTATGCTGTTTTATATCACAGAAGGAATTTATTTTACCTTTTCATTATAAGTCTAACATATTACTAAAGGAAACTTGTCTTTTAATTGTGACTTTTATTACATTAACATTTGAACGTTGAATGTGTTTTTTTTTGTCCTCAGGATAGTCATCAGCATATTGGTGATGCCAGTTTTTTTTGCTTTTCTAACTGTTTCCTACATTTTGATGTACAGTAAGTGTGCAACTCTCCTCTTGAGATTATTTTGTACAGGTAACAACACTGACATTTGTAAGTTTATTACTTCCATAATCATCCATTTTCCTTCTCGTGACCCGTTTGTTATTGAATGATGTTACAAATGTCTGATTTGGTTTCTACAGAACACAAGAGAGCAGCAGAAGCTCATCTGGGGAGCAATGATGAGATACTGTTTTTGATATTTAACCACGTTTTAGATCCAAACATGCACAGACACAGAAACAGACATGCTTCATCGTGATAAGAAGTACACAACAGATGTCACTGGTCTTATATTCTCTCTTTAATGGCATCAGATATTGATTATTGACAGCATTTTAATACAGCAGAACTCTGTTCTAGACAGACATAATATATCTAAGAGGGCATCATAAAAGATACAAGGTCATTACCATAAAAAAGATAAATACAAATCAAGATCAATTAAAAAAATCTGTGAGCATATCTCTCTTAAATAACGGTGTATAATATAAACATACAATAATTGAAACAACATCAGTGTCAAAAACGAGAAATGACAACAGTGATATGCACCACAAAATAACTTGTAACAAATAATTTGAACAACTGTAACATTCACATTTCACAGTCAGTTTC